GGGGGGGGGGTCTTTTGCTGGTGTCCCTGATCAACAGATTCTTTAACTCAGGCCGAATCTTTCAGTGGAACACCATAGAGTTTGCAAAGGAGCTTTCGGAAGCTGAGGGTAAAACTCACGTCGACCACAGGGTTTCTGCGGCGAGCAGGAGATGCTCTGGTCCATGCAGGTGGAGCCAACATGTCTAGCCTTCATGGCCTGTGCGCTAAGCAGGGAGGATGCCTCACCCACTGGGGGCTCTCCTCATGGACTCCCGAAGAAGTGCTCTCTCCGAAGAAAGAATTCCAAAAAGCTCCTAAGAATTTAAAAGTGCATTCGAAAGTTGTGCTCTTTTCAGAAAGAAAAATTCCAAATTCCCCAACGATATTCAAACAGGAATTTGTTGCCACTCTGGAGCAGGGCGGGGTGGGGGGGGAGGGCGGAGGGTAATGGCAAGGTGGAAAAAGATGAGGAAAAGGGAAATGTGAATTGGGGAGGAGCCCTCCAGGCGCTGGTTCCTTGGAGACGTTGGCTCGAGTACCTTGCTCTGGCCTGAAGGCACCACAAGATGGCAGCATTTCTGAAAGTTCTAGGCTCCCCCCCCCAATCCGCCCCCAAAAGGCTGCCTCTCTGGGCGCTGGGGCGCCTTGGCGTCCAGTCAGGAGCACATCCTCCTTCATATTTAGAAGGATTAAGAGTCCCGACCTGAGATGCTCTTGTCCTCAGCCAGAGAGAAGAGGGCCAGGGCAGAAAGGCTGGATCTCTCCGGTGCACGTTCAGCTGTTTAAACAAAATCAGCGTTGAACCCAAGTGCCTGTTGGCCAGTGGCCACTTTGGACGTCGGGCTGGGTTGTCTTAGTTTGTCTGAGAAACAGAAAGCTTGTTTGGCCAGATGTTGCGTGGGGGCCAAGGAACTTTGTGGTGCTTTAGAGAGTACGTCCCCGCCAGCTAACCTCAGTTTGGATGCACTGGGGGACTTTGCACCCCTGGTACAGCCTGGCACCAGCACCTGCATTCGGGTTCCCAGCCCCCCCTACCACCACCCTGGATGCCCACACTGGTCATCCGGTGTGAAATAGTGGACAGTTGTTGCTATTAAAACTCTTCCTGCCGTTTTATATGCTCTGTTCACTCATTGATTCGTTCTTCGATACACCTACTCTGAGCCAGGAGTCCCGTGGTGTCCCAGGGATACAAGAATGACCGTTCTGCCATCCTGGAAGTTGCATCTAGTTGGGGGATGGAGGGGAGACTGAATTATTTATAAGCGTAAGGGGCGCCTGGGTGGCTCAGTCAATTAAGCATCCGACTTCAGCTCAGGTCATGATCTCAAGGTTCTTGGGTTCGAGCCCTGCATCGAGTTCTGGGCTGACAGCTCAGAGCCTGGAGCCTGCTTCGGATTCTGTGTCTCCCCCACTCTTTCTGCCCCTCCTCCGCTCATGCTCTCTCTCTCTCTCTCTCTCTCTCTCAAAAATAAACATAAAAATTTTTGTTTAATTGTAATTATAAAATTATATTCCTACTACGCAGGAAAAGTGCAGGATGTTGTGACAGGGATTCTGGAAGCCTCTGCCATTTATTAGCTGGTATCTTGGGCAAGTTACTTAGCTAGGGGCCCTGCATATGGTTTCTTCGGTTTTGCACGGGACGGCCGTGAGGACTAACGAATTAAACAGGTGTAACCGTGTCTGACGTATGGTAAATGCAAACAAATGCTGCCTGCAACCTCTAATACTGTTACGCACCTCACAACCCCGGGAGGGGCGAGATGCACACAGACCACACGTGCAACTGATCGTGGCGGCTTTGCACTGTTCCGAGACTCAGTTTCCTTATCTGTAAACAGAGTAATAATAGTGATATCATGGGACTGTTGTGAGCATAAAGTGAGATATGGAAAGAGTGTTAGGCTCCAGCTCCACGCCTGCTGTCTGTTATTATTATTAGAACTCGAAGCCATGATATCAAAGCTCAATATAAAGGCTTAAATCTGCATTTTGGAGCCGTAGGTAAAGCCCCGGGTGACCATTAAGGTGTGTGTTTGGCTAATTAATGGCCTATTTTCAGCTACGAACTGCTTCCTCTTCCTACCACCTGAAGGGGGCGTGTCTGAGCTTTCAAGATCAGGTCAGTGCCCATCTTTAGGGGACCCGAAGAAGATCTAACATCTGGTCAGTCGGGTCGGCAAAGAGTCGGCTGAGGAAGGGAAAAGGGAAGGCCTCTCCCTTTGCGGAGTGACTCCCACAGCGGCAGCTACCGGACCTCGTATTTGTTATCCCAGGTCACCCTGAGGGCAGCCCTGTGCCATAGGCCCTGTGTGAGCGTCCTTACAGATTCGGAAGTGGAGGCCAAAGGTCACTCAGAAAACACTTGCTGAAGCTAGGTGTGAACGCGGGTCGGTCAGACTCCAAACCCTGAAGGCTGTCTTGAGAGGTTTGATGGAATTGACTAGAATGTTACACGTGGCTTGTCCGCAGGCCTAAAGAGCCACTTAAATGCTTGTTGGATTGGTCCATTGGACCAATTCTGTCCTAACCAGGCTATCTATTGGCTCCATGTGTGGACAAACGTGTCTTTAATCTGGGCAGATTAAAGCGTTTCTCAGAGAAAAAAATGTTGTTACCAAAGTGTTGGAGGATTAGCGTTTTGGGGTTTTCTTCTCAATGCGTGTTTGGCAAGTAGGAGTGGACATCTGAGGAGGTTTCCACTGGCTGGGATCAATTCCCCCTCTTCTCGTACCAGCATCCTGGGGGTTCCTGTGCGAGGGCTCCCCTTCCCCACTCCTGGTCTTCTGGTTTGAATGGGGCTGACCTTCTTTACTTGCTCTGGGGATGGGCACCTGACCAGCTCTGGCCAATCTTCACGCTCTGGAGGCAGGATTATTTCAGAGGTGGGTATGAATCCTCAGCCAAACCGAAAGAGAGTCAGTCCTGAGGTGTTGCTGGGATCTGGGGACACCACCACCCTCTTTCTGAAGGGGTCGCTAAGCTGGAAGCCCATTGGCCTGGAGTTGCCAGTGGCTGTGTTTGCCCCTCCGTGAGACCGAGGACAGACCACAGAAAAGAGGAGAAAGGAGATGCTGAGATTTCTGGTGGCATCTTTTGAGTGGCTGGGTTCAACTGTGAATTTTCCTAGTCACGCGAGTTTATATATTTCGTTCGATGTGTTTGCAAATTTGAGTACAGTTACTGTCTCTTAGTCCCGAGAGCATCCTGTCTAATATAGAAACGTTCTCAAAATACATCAGTAAACTGGGTGCTGAAAATACAACGGAAATTTCCTTTGAAATGTTATTTGGTACTCAACATCAATCCTAATTGTTTTTGCGTTGTAAATATTAAAGTTGTAAGAGAAATTGTGCGATGCCCGTATCATGGAAAACATAAACAAAAATAAACAAATATACTTCATCCTATTATCCAGTAAATCCCAGAGACCTGCTTCTCAGGAGTCAGAAAGATCTGAGTTTGAATTCTAGCCCTCCCAGTTACCTTGGACAACTGTCACAACTGTAATGGGCCTCAGTTTACTCACCTGCAGTTCGGTGGTAACTAGAGTAGCTACATCACTGGGACATTAGAAAGGATTGTCTGAAATAATAAGAACATCCAGCCTTATAACGGAATAGTGCTATGAGATAGGAACCTAAGGAAAGAAAGACTAAGTAACTTGTTCAAGGTCAGCTAACTCGTCGCTGGCAGAGCTGGGATTTGAACCTGGGTAACGTGGCTCAGGGCTTCCACTCCTGAGCACCATGTTTACCATCTCTTGAACCTGAAAGAGGTTGAGTAACTTGCCCAAGTTTGCACCTCATAATATTGTACACAAAGTGCTTACCATGGGGTCTGATACCAACAGACGTTCAGGAGAACACAGAGCAAGGGGTGTGTTAACCAGCTCGTTACATTTCAGGGCAGGGCCATGTATGCGATAATAGGGGGATGCGGGAGTGGGATTTAGGAGGCCTGGTTTTGACTTTCCTCTGTCACTAACATGACGTGTGACCTTAGGCAAGTCACTTGCTTCTCTGATCTTTGGTTTCTCGTCTGTACATCAAGAGGATCGAGATTGTTCTGCACCCATTGTAACCATCTACTGGTCCGGGATTTGGAGCCATTCAACAACCAAGGAGACTGAGGCCACATGAACTGGACTTGGCAAGGAGTTTGGGGCAAGGTGGCTGGATTAGAGACCCCATCTCCCTGCCAGTCAGTCTGAAGCCGTGGGTCCAGGGCTGCATCTCCCATGCTCTACACGGCTTGCAGTTTGGGGCTTCTCTCCAGTTTTCCATATTTCTCTACCCTCGTCTGTTTCTAAGATCAAGGAAGAAAAATGTGGCCGAAATTGGCCATCTCTGACCCACAGCAAAGAAAGCCCAAGACCGGACCTCAGCCTTCTCACATGTCAAATCAATGGCCGACTTCCAGCCTCTTCCCTGATCATTTTAAAGGCTTTTATCACATCTGAAAATGCTCCCCGAATGGCAACAAACTCTCCCAGGAAAAAGTAAGTGTTTTGATGAGTTAAGTGTAAATGAATCAAAACCACATGGATTAAATTTCCCCTGAAATACACTCAAGATTGACCATTAAGGACAAATGCTTTGGGACAATATGGGCTGCGGGAGAGAGGGCTGGAGAGTCTGGGATCTGACTTGAAACTTCCCCTCTGCTCCTTAACACCGAGGCCATTTGCTCCACAGTGTGCACAACCCCAAAGGCTCAGACCCCCTAACTCGCGCTGTCTTTAACAAATGAACAGATAATCTTCGCTTGGGACTTAATAAGACCTTGGAGTAAAAGTTCAACTAACCAAGGGCATCTTGGTTAGTGATAAACTCGTTCAAGGTGACAGACAACCTTGAAAAGTGAAACTGTTCATTTATTCAAAGAACGCTCATTGAGTACCTGATTTGTGTCAAAAACCTGCAATGTAATGAGAAGCAAAGAGGAATGACATGAGGTCCCAGCTTCTCTGTCCCTTCCCCCTCTGTCATGACGTCATTGCCCTGCTGCTACTTCTCGTGGGTCTTTGTTGCTTTCAGTGACACGAAGCTCTCTGTTGACGGGCTTTCAAGCCAGTTTGGGAGTATTTTCTCAAGATTTTGGTTGAGTTTGGAACATACTGAGTGGCAGTTTCTCTGCTCTTACCCCCACTCGTGTACTGCTTATTCATCAGACCTCATCGTCTCCTCCCAGAACACCAAAGCAGACTCCTAACTGGCAGCATGTCTGTCCCCTACGAATCCATCCTCCACCCAACTACCGAACAATCTGCCTCGACCTCAAATCGGACTACATCATTTGACTCTTGAGAGTCAGAACTCCCAAGTGTCTACTCAGTTAAGGGCTATCTCCAAGCATGGTAGACAAGGCCTGCTACAGGACTTGGCCCTTACTTGACTCTCAAGCTTCTTTGGAAAGACATATCTTATATTCTTGGTCCGGGAGAATTAATGTTATTAAAATGTCCACACAATCCCAAGTGATCTACAGATTCAGTGCAATCCACATCAAAATTCCAGTGGCATTTTGTACAGAAATAGAAAAACTATCCTAAAATTCACACGGAATCAAAAAGCACCTGAAATAGTCAGATCTTGAGGAAGAACAAAGCTGGAGGCATTACACTTCCCGATTTCAAACTATATTACTAAGCTGTAGTCATCAAAACAGTATGGTACTGGGCATAAAAACAAGCATGAAGACCAATGGAACAGAACACAGAAAGCCCAGAAATAAACCCAGGCCTGCATAATCCAGTAATCTTTGATAAGGGAGCCAGGAGCACACAGCAGGGAAAGAATTGTCTCCTTAGTAAATGGTGCTGGAAAATTAGATATCCACTTGCAAAAAAGTGAACTGGACCTCTATCATATACTACTCACAAAAGTTAATTCAGGGGTGCCTGGGTGGTTCAGTCGGTTAAGCGTTCAACTTCGGCTCAGGTCATGCTCTCGTGGTCTGTGAGTTCAAGCCCCACATCAGGCTCTGTGCTAACAGCTCAGAACCTGGAGCCTGCTTCAGATCCTGTGTCTCTGTCTCTCTCTGCCCCTCTCCTGCTTGTGCTCTGTCTCCCTCTCTCTGACTCTCTCTCTCAAAAATAAATAAACATTAAAAAAGTTAATTCAAAATGACTAAAGACTCAAATGTAAGACATGAAATTATACAACTCCTAGAAGACAAATTAAAATTAAAAAAAAAAAAAAAAAAACAACTCCTGGAAGAAAACAGTGGGAAAAATCTCCTTGATGTTGGTCTTGGCAATGACTTTTTAGATAAGACATTAAAAGGATAGGCAACAAAAGTTAAAAGAAGCAAGTGGAACTATTTCAAACCAAAAAAACCCACAAAAAACAAAAAACAAAAAAAAACTACACAGCAAAGGAAACAATCAGCGAATTGAAAAAGCAAGCTACAGAATGGGAAACAAAATATTTGCAAACCACTTATCTAATAATATATCCAAAATGCATAATTTCCAAAATATATAAGGAGCCTACACACCTCAATAGTAAAAACTCAAATAGTAAACAAAACAAAACAAAAAAAAACCCCAAAAACTAAAAGACAAAAAGACCCCAAACTGTTAGAACTGAACAAAGAACCCGAACAGACATTTTGCTAAAGAAGACAAGTGACCCATGGGTACATGAAAAGATGCTTAACGTCACTAACCAGGTGTGACCAAATGCAAATCAAAATCACAATGAGCTGTCACCTCATCCCTATCATCAAAAAGGCAAGAGATGACAAAAGTTGGCAAGGACATGGAGAAAGGGGACACATACACTGTCAGCGAGAACGTAAGTTGTCGTTCCTCAAAAAGTTAAAAATAGAACCGCCAGGTGATTCAGCAACCCCACTCCTGGGCACGTATCCAAAGGAAACAAAAGCAGTATCACAAGGAGATACCTGCACCCCCACGTTCATTGTAGCATTATTCACAATAGCCAGGATCTAGAAAGAACCTATTCTTTGACAGATGAGTGGATAAAGACAACGTGAGATAATGTATATCTACATATCCCTCTACATATATCTATATGTACCCATGCAACGGAATGTAGAAGGAAATTCTGACATTTACAACAACATGAATGAACCTGGAGGGCATTATGCTACGTGAAATAAGCCAGACAGAGAAGAAGACTGTATTTATCACTTACATGTGGAACCTGGGGCGGGGGGGGGGGGGTGGAGATCAATTTCATAGACACAGAGACTAGAACGGTGATTGCCAGGGGCCGGGCAGAGGGGGAAATGGGGAGATGTAGGTCAAAGTGGACCAACTTTCAGTTATAAGATGAGGAAATTCCGAGGATCTGATGTGCAGCACAGTAACGATACAGTTAATAATATGATACTGAATACCTGCAATTTGCTGAGTAGATCTCAAGTGTTCTCACCACCAAAAAGAAAAAAGAGTTAAACTCTGTGAGGTGATAAATGTGTTAATTATCTTGATCTCCGTAATCATTGCACAACGTATATGCATGTCAAATCCTCATGTTGTACACTTCAAATGGATACAGTTCTATTTGTCAGTTATTCCTCCATAAAGCTGGGCAGGGGTAAAGGATACAGGAAATGTCTCTGTATTAGCTGTTTAATTTAAACATTTACTGTCACAAACCAAACAACTTCTGCTACCTTTTATGTCATCTTCTAAAGACACTGCTATGTTTGCTCTTGTGAAAGTCTCTGGGGCACTTTTTTTTTTTTTTTGAGTTTATTTATTTATTTTGAGAGAGAGAGAGAGAGGGGGGCAGAGCGAAAAGGAGAGAGAGAATCCCAAGCAGGCTCTGCACTGCCAGCATGGAGCCAGGCGCTGGGCTCCAACCCGCGAACTGCGAGACCGTGACCCGACCCGAGACCAAGAGCGGGATGCTTAGCCAGTTAAGCCGCCCAGGCACCCCTGGGCACTTTTTCATCACACACACTTTGTTCTTGCGCTTAGGGTTCACAGGACGTCTCATATGTCAATATAAGTTCTATAAATCATGATGATGAAATATACACATGTGCGTATGTATGTGTGCACACGCATGGTGCCCCATGGCGAGCGATATTAGCACGCGGCATTAGACCCAAGACTGTGAGAAGCACAACACACATCCAAAAACAGAGTGGCGTCTTCCCTGGACTTGACTGTGAACCTGCTTGATTGTGTGGGAGCTGGGGCGGAAGAAGGTGGGCGTGAGACTCCCAGAGGTGGCTCTTACTTAGGGACGGAGCTCACAAAGCAGCATGGTGTTTCCCCCATGAAGCAGCCAGTTTCACCTTGCGGTTGTAGCAGCGTTTCTGGTGGGGGAGCACTCCACCCGCAATCTGTGAGGAGCGGGTTGTGGTTGTAAGGGAGGCACCTCTAAGCACATGGGTGCAATGCCTTCTGTTTTGCCCAAGGAGAACTGTGGTGGGAAAGAAACAATTGAACCAAGCTGGAAGCAACCTGAGGGCCTACGAAGTCTAGCCTCAACTTTGGGCCTCATCCGCTGGAGGGACTGAAAATGCAGAGGCACTGTGGCCTGACCACTTGTAAAACCAGGACTTGGACCCACAGGCCAGAGCGCCTCATCTGCAATGCCCAGCCCAGGAGGCCAGGCCGCTGTCTCTAGTGACAATCCAGGAGGCTGGACCGTCACGTCTGTGACAGTCAGCCCCAAACAGCCAGGACTCGATTAATAACTGACGGCCTCCCTGGTTGTCGTCCCTGCTTCTCACGTAGGACCAACCAGAGAGAGCCACGTATGTCCCCTGGACCCCTAACCAACCACTCAGGCCACTCCACTTCTACGTAGCTTCCCCGGGCCAACAGCCTCCAGTCAGGCCACACCTGAAGCTTCCCTTTTTCACTCTAAAGCTTCCCCTCTCCTGCCTGCCTTTGAGTCTCTCTCAAAACACAAGTGATGGGGGCTTGACTTCCTTGCTATGGCAAAAGCTCTGATCACGTAGCCTTTGCCTTTTTCATTTTATTTCCACACACCTTTCTAGATATTTGTGGGATAGGTGATTCCAAGCAACCAACAGCATCACCCTCTTCCCTAATTCTGTCTCCTGCAGCCCCAGCGGGCCAAGAGATGGCTGTCCGCTGCTCTCTCCTCGTTGCCAGTGCAGCCGGAGGTTCCTCCACGGACTCCACCCCTGGTGTGCGCCATGACAGTTTCCTGGGGTCTAGAGCAGGCCTGACGGTCAGCTCTAAGAGGCACTGGGAAGGCATGAGTGGTTGTTTATGGCTGGTGTCCATTCTGTTGGCTCTACGCTCTTGCCCCCATTCCGCACCGTCTTCCTTCCTCGAAACTACCACGGAGGATAAAAAGTTGTAAGTTGGCTTCTAATCCCAGAACCAGCAAGCAGAGAAAGCCACATTCCCTTCATGGTCCTATCTCTGCTGCTGTAATATGAGGACGGGACTCAATAGTATTTTAAGTCCCTTCTGTATCTTACCCAGCTGAATCTTCTCCCCATTGGCTTCCGGCCCTCACATGTGCTGGTCATTATAAAAATCTCCAAAGGACCATCCCCGATGGGCTCAACCTTTACAGAAGGAGGGTTCATTGAACCAGGGGCATTTGCCCTGCCTGGCCAAAGAGAGGCAAATCCAGGGTGGAATCAGGTCCCTCTTTTCCTACACCGGATTCGTGGTTCCAAATGGTGCCATTTAGGCAACGCCGACTCTTGAGCTGCCACACCCTTTGTTCTAATTCACACGCGTACACTTGATTCCCCTGGGAACGTGTTTTTAAAATTGAATGAATCCAGAGTTCACATATGTTGCCTGAATGCGACATTGTGTAATACCTTTTCTCCCCCTGACTATCCGTACCGTCTCCCCCTTTCAAAACCCCCTCTCATTGAGTGGCATTAAAAACAAAACAAAACAAAACCTTCGCTCCCACTTAGAGGCCCAAGTCCTGGGGAGCCAGAGCAGAGGAGAGGTTGTCACCTCTCACGTTCAGCAATAAAAATGACTTCCTCCTTTCAGCCGCTGTTCCCTGATGTGACTCTGTGATCAGTATCAAATGCTTGGCAGCAAGGATTTCTGTAGAGCCTTCCCAGCTAAAATAGATTTAACCTGCCCGCTGCTCTTTGTGCGGGAACAATGGGCGTAACAATAAGGAGCCGCTATATTGTTCATGCATGAATAGTTCGGATTCTAGATATTTGCTGTTGGGCCCTGTAGATTACCTGCAAAGAATGTCCAGCTCCCTCTGTTGAGAAAGGTTATGCTACAGGCAAGCAGTCCAGGCTGTTTCATGGTAATGAATCAATAGGGGCCTGCAATTAATGAAGCCTTATTTCAAAATGGTAGGGAGTCACCTTTTGAAATAGGGTCTGTTTTCTTCTCCGGCCTAATTGCACAGCCTGGGGTGTCTCCAGTTTGAATGGGTCAACTTTGTGTGTGAGCCGGGGTTGAGGGCTGGCGGGAAGGGGCAGAGGGTGACAAGCAAGGTGGCTTTGGGGGCTTACTTGGGCCAGCTCTGGGGGAAATGAAACCCATATGTGCGGTTATTAGCATGTGGCTCGGAACCAGGCAAACAACAGAGGCGAGCTGCAAGGCCGAGAGCACCTTCTGAGTGTTCCAGTCCCAGTTTTCCAACTGGGCAAAATCTTCATCAGCAGGGGTTTTTGCCGTGTGGCTGTGATTGAGCCTTTGAGAACCCGTGGCTGGTGCCTGGCGGTTAATGGCGGGCTTGGGATCCAACACATCTAAATCTCAGTTGTTGCACTGTCATTTACCAGCGGTGTGAGCTGAGGCAAACTACCTAACCTCTCTGAGCGTCCTTTGATCCATCAAACAGGGAGAGCATCACCAACAAACGGGGGTCTTGCACAGAAAACATGCCCCCCCTAATAGGGATCCGATACATGCTTGTAGCAAGTGCTGCGAGTTTACCAATATCTATCCTTCCTTCCTTCCTTCCCAACAGAATCTCAATTTTGTTCAGGGCAGCAATGTATCCAGCCAAGAAAATCCCGATATCTCAGGGTCCCTTATAGTTGAGGTGTCCCTATGACATAGTTCTGGTCAATCAAAAGGGAACGTCTGCTGGATGGAGCTGCCTGGAAAACGATGGTTTTCTTGATTTAAAAAACAATAACAGTAACAACAGACTTTGCAAGGCTTTAGCCTTTTTCCCTGCCCTCCTCTCTTCCTTCCTGGAACGCAGTTCCAATGCCCGGAAGCATGGGAGCCGCCATCTTGCAACCATGAGGACAACCAACCATGAGGACATAAGCTGAGAGAGTGGGACAAAAGGGTAGAGGATGGGGGAAGGTTCATGGAGCTGTGGAGTGGCTGTACCAGTTCCTGAGTGCCTCCCTCAGGCCTCTTGACAGGCAAGAACTATAAATCCCCATGCATTTAAGTCATGGTTACTTGAGCTTTCTCTTATATGTGTCCAAGCGCGATCTCTGATACCTTCTGAGTATTATTTCTTCAGGCTGCTGCAAAGAGCCTTGGGAACTTCCCCCAAGACTGGCTAAAGTGAGGAAGAGGAATACACTGGGAGAAAACCACCTAGGCTCTGATATTTCAGGACCTCCCCTTTGTCTGTCAACCCATGCACCTGAGCTTTTTATTTACAGAGGCTTCCTTGCTTGTTATTAAATCGAGGCTTCCAGGGAAGTAGAGTGAAATTAAGGGAGATCAGAGGCAAAGATAGCCATGGCTACTACATAAACACCTATCTGCATCATATAAGATGCTGGAGTTAATCAACTCCAAGAACAGAGGCAGGGCCCAAATGAACAAACCGCCTCCTGGAGCTGGCCATGGCAAGCCTGCTGAGTGCAGGAAGTAAACATGGGAAGCAAGAGGCCAAAAATAATGGCAATGAGATTTTTTAAACTTCATCCTTAATAAAGAAAGCTTTGCTGAATTCTCATGCCCTGGAGAAATAGCCAAGGGTATTTAGGTTTATCCAAAAGGACTTAGTGGGAACTTGGGAAAAGTGTAGGCATGCCTTAGCCGAGGTTGGGATGGGGCCCCTTGACCCAGTGAAAGAGCTAGGAGGGAGTCTTCCCTTGACCTTTGAAAGTCAAGCTACTGGCCCATAGCTCTGGACAGTGTGGCTTAGAGGCTGCCTCTCCAGGAGGATAGTGGAGTGAAGTGAGTCGCAAATGAGCTAATCACCATTAATGTTTCGGCTGAAACTGCCAGTCTGACATCCTTCCTAATGGCTGACAAATGTCAGGGTGACTTGTGTGCTTTTTTTGTTAATTGAATTGGTTAATTGGGTCCCAGAGGCCTAGCTGCTAATTACGAGCTACAGCCGAATAGGAGCTTTAAAAAAAAAAAAAAAAAAGAAAGAAAAGAAAAGAAAAAAAAGATGCAAGGAAGTTAAAACAAAAGAGAAAATACACACACGCACATACACACACACACACACACACACACACACATACATACTCCAACCCCTTTGTGTCCTTTACAATCTGTACTGTTACCTTCTCTTAATTTTTGACCTGCCACATGTTACTACCTCCTTGATGTGTTCAAAAAAAAAAGGGCAAGAAAAACTCCAATTCTGCCTTTTTCCATGAGGAGCATCTGTTCAATCAGTGCCTCGTTCATTAATTTTCTGCCAATTAGCAAGAAAAAAAGGTAGACCGGGAAGGGGGAGAAAAAAGTCCAGATTTACTGCTTAATGCCTTACCTTGTGAAGATGGTGTTTTCAAAAGCTCCACATTGTCTCTTGTTTGGGTAAAGACACATTAATAGTCTAGGAGACCCAGTAGTGACTTGTTGATGTTAAACAAAACTTTTCCAGAGTTTCCTAGGACAGGTCCCAGGCACAGAACCATCGACAGTGTCCGTTGAGGAATAACCTTTCTCAAAGGTAAGTTAAATAACTTCCAGTGCACGGAGGACTCTGGGAATTTAGCGCTAAAGGTGTCTCCGGGGAAGTATCTCCCAACTGTCAACCGCGTGTTCCCAGTGTTGTCTTTGGTTTTTGCTTCCAAGTAAGGGACAACAATGAAGGCAGCTGGACACTCCAGATTCGTACCTCCAGTTCACCCTGCTTCCGGGAGCTGGCAGACCCAAAGTATCTGATAACACGGGTGACATTCTTTGGTTGGTGGGGAAGGAACCCGAGGTAGGGAGGAGAGAAAGAAGAGGCACTCAAAGGAACTTTGTGGCAGAATCAGATTTTTCCAGCCCCTAAAGTTCTGGCAGACATAATTGGATAGGGGTAAGCTACCAGGACAGCACTTCCTTACTCTCGGAGTCTTGGGCTAGCAAGAGTCTGGGATTTTGAAAACATGTGGCCAGAAGTTTGGGGACTTGAAGAATGTGTGTGGCCCAGATACCGCTTGGAGCCATCTTGCCGGGCATCTTGACTCACATTCCCGATTCCAGTCTGCCTCCCAGCTCAGCCACTAAGGCCTCCTCCCAGTTTCTTCCAGGTCCCAGCCTCCCTCGCCCTCCATGAATTCCTGTGCACCTGTTCCTGGGGGTGATGGCTCAGGTTGGCCACAAGCTAGATTTTGGTCCCTTGCTGTTTCCAAGGCTCCCAATCATAAAACTTTTAACTTTTTTGAAGACTTGAGAGGGCAGGGTCATGGGCTACAAAGAGCCTTCTACGTTCCAGTAGCTCCCCCTCCACTGCTCCGGCATTTTCCTCTCCCACCCCCACCCCCTTCATATCCCTGAGAATTTAGATTGTTACACCTGATGCCTGGCTGACAGTCCCTGAGACACACGCATGGAAAGCTCAACGTTAAAAGAAAAGCTGCGTGTTTTTCAACGATTCCATTTGCGTCTCTGTATTTTTACCGGCAGGTGTGCATGTGTGTGTGAGTGCCCGCATGAGCCCGCCAGCATTAAAATAGCGTGGACTACTTGGGCTCATCTTGAGCATGAGCATCTCTGAAGAGTTGTCAGGAAACGTTAAAAATCTACGGGGACAATGGCGAGGTTGAATATATGGGGAAGACAAAACAGTGGTAGCCAGTGGAGCTCACTAGTCAAGATCATCGCTCTGTGCCCTGAAGACCAAAGTCCAAATCCTGGCCTTGACCCTTCCTAGCTGTGCAAACTTAGACCAGTTACTTCAACATCTTTGAAACTCATGCTTTCAACTCCAAAATGCAAATAATAATAGCATCTGTCTTCTAGGCTGGCTTCTGGAAATAGATGAGACAAGGCATGTAAACAGCACAGTGCTTGGCATGTAGCACATTCCCAGGAAACATTCGTTCCTATATTTGCTTTCCTCTCTTAACTTCCTTTCTTTAAAATCTGAAGTCCACAGGAACATCGGCTATACCAGGAATGTAACAGTATCGTTAGCCTGGTTTGTTTTGCTTATGCTTAAATGAATTCTCAAGTTTCTTTGACCTGTCTGGTAGTGTGGCTTCTGCTGCTCTTTCTTGAAGAGAATAGAGTTTTTATGACCTTTCAACCCGGAGAAATACCAATATTTTCTTCAGATTTAGTTTGGGCATTGCTTTACCCCCAGGGGTCTTACTTACATAAGGCTCAGAGGAGAGGTAGAGAGTGGAGAGAAAACGGATGGTCATGTTTCATAGGAAGTAAATGGTGTGTCCCATCATCCATACCATCTAGTCCTTTCCACAGAACCTCTTCTAGGAAAGACCTGCCTCGTATGCTCTCTGCGGGAAGAGGAGACACTGAAGTCTCAGTCCTCGGAGCCCAGGTTTCTTTGGGTGTTCCCATTCCTTTCTGCTGGAGATACCCCACAGTTGGTCCCAAGATGTTTGGTTTCATCGTTAGCTTAGAGGGCAGATAATTTGACCACGTGGAGAGGTAGGGTGACAAATGTGGTAGGGTGCCCAGGGTGGAGTGGCTTCTTGGGACATGGATCTTTCAGTACTCAGGGGAGGAAAATCCAGGCAAATTAGGATGAGTTGGCCATCCTCCTGGAAGGCCGCTATTTAAATAGTTTGTTTGGAGAGTCATTGCAGTTGGGGGAGGTGCCAATCCCAAAGACCCCAGTCAGTTAATAAACTCAGTAAAAATCGGGGCCTCTCAGAGCATCATCCGATGCTAAATATGTATATGTGGCTTGGGCAGCTCTGATGACAAAAGTCATAGAAACACGTGATTTCTCAGTCACACAGCACATGGGCCGTGGGGACTCATCCCCTTGGAAGTTGGAGTCCCATGTAGGAACTTGTCAAAACGAAGTCCTGAATTAACCACCCACAGATTGCATTATGCAGAGAGGAGGAGGAAGTGGTTAAGTGACAAAAGACAAAAACCATAAAATCCAGAGGCCGTGTGGGCATTCCGTACCCAAGTCACCACCTGAGGGAAGCCAACATTGTTGTCATGTCCCGATGCCAGCACCTAGAAACCTTGCCCTTCCTCGCCCTGGCTCGAAACAAAATGGCTAAGCACGCTTCCCTCAGATTTGCAAAGATTGCTGCAAAGAGAAAGGAGGTTGACATCTCCTCACAGAAGGAAAGAGGGAAGATAACAATTAGGGGATGACGCATTGAGAGAACTCAAATACACCAGTCAAATACACCGTGGGTTACACGATATTCTCACTTAAGTCGCAGAGAATCTTGAGAGGTTGGCGTCATGACTCCTATTCGATAACTGAAGAAACCAGGGCTTGGGCAAAAAGTAAGTTTTCTGAGTTCACTCAGCGAAGGAGCGGCTGACCTGGGAATTGAAATAATAATAATAATAATAATAATAGCAATGATGATAATAATGATAATAATTTAATCAAATAGCCATCATAATAGAGCAACAGCATTTCTTAGGTCTTAGGTACTAGGCTACATACACTCTTTATATTTAACCTCAAATTGTCCTGAAACAGTCTTTCAGACTGGTACCACTCTTAAGCCCATTTAACATATGGCTAAATTGAGAATTAGAGACATTGTGGAAAGCACTGGAGGACACCCAGACAGTGAGTTGCAGAACGGAAGTTTGAACCCATGTCTCCCTGGCCCCGTAAACCACCGCACAACCCACGTGATCCGGCATCGTGTTACAAAAAACACTTTTGTGCGTGTTACCTCATTCAACCATTGAGACATATTTTCTAGGCTTAAAAAGGGAAGCCAAGAGAGCTTCTGACTTGTCCCAAAGCGTGGGAGCCTGGCGGAAAACTGACTCCGATTCCGGCACCCCCAGGAGAACCATGACCCTCTGGGTCCATTGGGAAAAAAAAAAGATATTCTCCCCAAATGGTGGGTTTCTTCTCTTGCTGCAACAGCGAGCTTCTTCAACAACCCAACCAGCCCCAGAGGCGATCGGTGACTCGGAATGGGGAAGAAGATGGTGATACTCGAGGGCAAAGACCAGTGGGATGGGTTTCTGCCTCCCCCAGACCATGCAGAAAGGCCCGGATCTTGCCTGTGCATGCAATATTGACCTGGCGGTATTGACGCACCACCTACGGGCCTGCCTTTCCTTATCGATAACCAATGGCAGAGCCTAAAGTTCAAACACCGCTGGGCGGCTTTCATGTTTGTAAACAGTATTGATGTGCATAAATAAGGGCCCATCAGACCGCAGGATTAAACAAGGACGGAGGCAGAACATTGGGGAGATTAAATCCGGAAGCAGCTCATTAAAATAAGCTGGGAACGAAGGCATAAATGGTGGCCAGTTAATGAAATGCCTTGCCAGCCTGGACACCCCAGTACCCCCAAGCCAGGCTTTCCCAAGCTGGTGGCCAATGACGCTGCCTCTTCCTCCCTAGGATAAAACTGGCCCAACTCTGCCTATGAGTTACTTCCCGACCACAGAGCCTCCTAAGCCAGCGACCCACAGCAAGCGCCAGGAAAGGAGCACTGTCTGAGAACACTGGGTGGTCTGTGGGAGAAGACAGACATCTGACATCAGCACTTGGACCCAGGATAATTGGGATGCGGCGTGGAAAACAAATGCTTCATCTTTCCGTTAAAGAAACAGAAGGAAAAAAAACAAAACACATTAACAAGAATTGTGGAAATAGCAACACTTCCTCTTCGATTCCAGTAGGGTTCGTTTCAAGGACAAAATTGGACTCAGGGAAGGAGGGAGGTTCAAGACTCAAGGCCACTTGTCCTCACTACTTCTTAATTTTTCTGAGTCTTCTTTGCATTATGATGGCTCAGCATCAAAAGGGCCATATTGAAATGTCCCTTGACTCACAACGGCCTTGTCCAAAGGTCCTGCTTTGCTGTTGGGGCAAATGAGAAGAGTCGGGGCAGCAGCCAGTTGAAGCTGGGATAGAGAACCTCCTGCCCAATGGATTGCTCAGGGAAATAGCGTGACAGCTGTGCTCATAGAGAAGTAATTCATGCTTCTGCTGGTGACACACTTTCTCCTTTCTGCCATCTTTAGTGTGACTTTATTCAAAGCCAGTGAAAACGATGGCCAACATTTACTCCATACTCTGTGCCAGGCATGACCTTAAGCATGTTACATGCATGAGCTCATTTAGTTTTCTTAAAAAGCCCAAGAGAGGAAGCCAAGGCACAAACGGATAACATAGTGACTTTGTTTCCCCAAGCAATCTCAGAGGTAGGGCATGTTAGTCTGATTTTTGACATGAAGCCTGAGGGGTAAAATGATTTGCTCACAGTCAGAGGTGGGCTTCTCGCAGGGAGCCCTTTGGGGGCGCCTGGATGCCCAAATTTGAGGAGGTGGGATGCCCAAGTTTTGTCCCAGACTCTATTTACCATCACCATTTTTTTCTATGGTCAGACATGGCCCAGCATGCTTCCAGAAGCATCTTTATTAGACTGAGGAGAGGAGGAAATGCCTCCTAACATTGGGCTTTCATGAAGAACAACAAAATCGTATTTGAAAGAGAAAAATGCTTTAAAAATGCACCGGGCTGTTATTCTGATTAAAGGAGCTGTCCCCAGGACAGACCCACAGTTGCTTTCTCCGAGCTGGTCGCGACAAAGGACCCTTCCACTGGCTTGAGTGGCAAGAAGGCTGCATTGTAGGAATGCACCTAAGATTTCTGGGACCGGGGGAGTGAGGGAACGAGCCGGCATGCGAGGAGGGAGTGGTATCATGTTCCTGGTTTTCGGGTTAGCTCCAGGACTGGAATGCTTAACTCATGTGGTTTTTCAAGATTAAT